CTCATCCTTTAGGCTTAAAGAAACTTCCCCAAAGCTCTCCACCCAAAGAGTAGTGGCCATTTACAATAAATAAATAAATAAATATATTGAATATTGAATTAATTTTAATTAATTAGTTGGATAAGTTACTAAGAAGAGTTACTATTTTCTCTCCCCCCCCCTTTTTTTTTTCTGATGATACACTATGATGAATTTGTTGGGCCGATATTTGGGCCTACAATTAGTGATGTGAAGTGATCGTGTTCGTCTAATTTGGTGACAATTCAACATTAGATCTATACAATTCTGAATTAATATAAACTATTTATTGATTGAATTATTCTTCAAAACGAGTAATATGTTGTTTTAAGGTCAAACATGTTCTTGCCACCGCTATTATGGAAAATCTTATCACTAATTGTATCTCACATGAGAAATACTTAAAAATTAATTTTAGTAATCAGGCATACATATTTAAATACATTGACACTATTGCATAGATCATCAAACTTTTCTTTATATATGTATAAAGACCTTCACTACCTCACCTCCTCGAGAATTATGATGCATCGACTTAAGGACAAAAGGACAATAGGGTTCAGTCTTAAATACACATCATCAAAATTACTAGTCAATGAAAAATGTTACTTGTCATGTATTTATAGACCTTGCATGACTGTCTCTATAAAAACACTTAATATGCATGTATGACCAATAATGTTCGCGAGCCTTACAAAATCAACGATAATTATCTTATTCGATGTTCATCACATTCACTTATTTAATATATTATTGAAAAAACCTGATTAAAGATCATAAATTTATTTTTAAGTGTCAATGGATAAAAGTCTCTCATTAGGACAAAATGATTCCGAGACATAAGACATCCAACGCAAGTCACACCTTGGGCTCGCTCTTGCCATAGGGCGGCAAATGACTTGGGTAAATGTCAAGTAAGTTGAGGACATCTGATGTTTGTGTATTTGGCTTTATTGCGTTTGATATATATATATATATATATATATGCCAAATGCTACCAGTTTCCCAAAACCTCCGTTCCCATGAGCGGCACCGTAGGATCCCACCATCAAATCATGCCCACAAAGGAGACATCAACGCACGCCTGACAACTTGATACGCACGCCACATGACACGCTTCAGCTTCCTTCTCCGTTGGTGCAATCTTAATGAGGCCGTCCCTTCTCCAGCTGCTCCTCTTAGTGACGTCCAGTAAATGCAGTGCGTGGTGGGAGTAGCACGCATGACGCGATGTTGGCTATGGATCGATCGTGTCAGTCATCTTAATTATCACTTTGCCGATTTGATTTCTTGTGATGTTCAACGAATGAACACTCACATTTCTAAGTTTTATTCCATATGTTTTCATCGGATAAGAAACTTTCTGATATAATAGATCTAATTAATTAGGCTTCAAATCTCTCTCTCTCTCTCTCTATTTTGTGATGGTTGTAACGTTTCTACATTCGGAAGTGGCCGCGAAGCGTTCGTTGTCACTCGTCCAAAGGCATGAGACGGAGAAGTTGGCCTTGGCCACATCACCTCGTTCCCATCTCGTCCTGACACCAGCAAGTTGCTGTGAGACCTGTGAATGAACCAAGGAGAGCGTCACATCACGTACGTGCCAAGGTCCCAGACAACAGATGCATGCATGCGTTCACGAGACGTACGCGCCATGCAACAGGGCGTCGTCACCAGCGCCGACGTGAAGCTCCACTGGCGCAGACGTACCTCGTAACGAGGAAAGGACACGTACGAACGTAACGTGCACTGACGACGTACGTAAGCACGCGTGCCTCGTCGCTCGTGCCGGGACGCTCGGCACGTGCCTCGGCGTTCGTCGGGAGTCCGAGGTTGGCGACGCACGTAACGTGGAGGAGGGGGACGTACTACTGTTGGGTCGAGAAGGGTAAGCAGAGCAACCGCTATGCATGCATGAAAGGGTGGTCCATTTCGGTCAACCCTGTCAAAGACTTTGTTTTGTTTTGATTTTTTTTTCTTTTTTGTATGTTGTAAATAAATAAATAAATATATATATATATATATATATATATATATATATATTTGAAGTGTTTATCTAAATATTAATTAAAAAATAAATACATTCATTTGATTTAATTGGACAATAAGTAAAAAAAAATTTTAAATAATTGTTCAGATGGGTGTGATGAAGGTAAAAAGACGTTTTGAGAACTCATGAGGTTTTCTATCTCGCTAGCATTAAGCAAAAAGAAAAAGAGTATGAATTTATATATTTGAATGGTGGATGAAAAGATGTTGCTTGATCCGACAGTCCGTATTAACTGGTTCATTAATTTATTTTAATCTTATTATGTTAAGAATTAAGGTGATTTTTTATAAAATATTCACATTTTGTGTACTTCACAATCGATATTTTTTTATTTTATTTTATTTCGAACAGTGTCCTTAATTTAAAAATATTCAAACTATCTCGTAAAAAATTACTCGCCTTTATAGTGTATTTGACATAATAAAGTATTTTGATCATCGTAATAAAAACACTTGAGGTTTACTCTAATTAAACTTTTAATATCAATTAAACTAACTATAAGCCTAAAAATATTATATTGTAATGATGTATGAGTAATGACAATCTAAAAGACATAATATAATATCACTTATAGTATTTATAATGTTTTCACTATCACAAAAAGACACTGTAAACATAACTTAAAAATATTATAAACGAACTAAATAAAAATTGTGTAATAGTTGAAAACAGATAAAAATGGTCGAACAAATTTGATGAAAATTTTTTGAGGGATATTTTAAATATTTTGAAATAAAAATACTTTATGAAAAAACGGATATCTTTTGAGAAATATTTAAAATATAAATATTTTTTTAAGAAAATCACCCTAACAATTATGTGCAACCGAATTGTTGCATTTTTGAGGAGGAATTATTATATTTTTCATATCTTGAGCAATCTAATTAAGACACGGCAAGTCACTCATGAAGAACTTCTCTCTCTCTCTCTCTCTCTCTCTCTCTCTCTCTCTCTCTCTCTCTCTCCCTTTTTTTTTCATTTTTTAGCAAAGTTGAAACTTAGTTTGCATTTGATTAAGAATAATTAATCAGATGGCCAATTAGTCTTTGATAATTTGCGCGAATGATAGACCAAAATATTTTTTTTTCATTAAGGAAATTAAACAAAAAAATTACAAATAAAAATAATCATTCAACTCAAAGTGGTAGTTTGACTTTTTACTGCGTGTCCCCTCAAAGATTTCTCCTGTTGACCTACAAATCAATCAAAATCCCCGAACAATTTGGTGGCAAAATCTCTCACGGTTTACTATGTGGATTGTTGAAAAGGAAGCAGAACTCTCTCTCTTTCTCTCTGTCTCCATCTCTGTCTTTCTCTGTTCAACTGAGCAGCCATCTAATCCAAAGAGGTCTCCTTCCAACTTCCCACAAAAACATGTGCATCGAAGGAAATGACAGTTTTCATAGTCTCGGCCATAAAGCTGATCCCCGTCTCTCACTCTCTCTCTTTTTCTCTGTCCAACTGAGCGGTCATCTAATCAAAAGAATTCTCCTTACATCTTTCCAAAAAATTTGTGCATGAAATTGACAGTTTTCATCGTCTCCAGTCATAAAGCTGATCTCACATTTACTTGTTGCTGAATGTCTCTTCAATGCTTTCTTTCCTATTGTATTTATCAAGGCAGTGCTGCACGTACTACTGAGAACATCGACAGAATCCCTGTCGATGGAGGAGCTCAGCGTGACTACAGAAAAGCCTTCAGTGCAATGCAAGTAGCACTCTTTTTCTTTTTTTCTTTTTTTTTGTCTGATTCATAGTTCTTGGTTTGGTCATACACTGGTTTTGTAAGGTGATTTTTTTTTGCTACTTCTAATGTTTTTGTAGCACTTTAGTGAAACACAAATGATCTTATTAATTTCGATATCAATTATCAATCCAAATTATAATCCCGAAGAGAGTTTGAAAACCTCACGGATAATATGAACCTTAGATCGTAACCAATATGTTCCTAACGCATGAGTTCTTCAATACTCATATTAACCTATATCCTATAAGGACGAATTATCGAAGATGTTTGTCATAGTAAAATATTCCTTACTTACAAGCAAAGATTATTTTTTATTCGAAGAATACGTTCTATTAGGATTTGTGATTAGTTTTTTTTTTGTATAGGTAGTATTCGCATGTCAAAACTTTCCAAGGTGGCGAATATTATCCTGATGAAAGATCATCAACTGTCCTCAAATATATAGCTTTGAGGTTGAATTTATACCTTTGTTTCGGGTTGTTTTTTTGACTGTTTTCTTCCAAGTTTCGAATTCTGAAACAATGAACGTCCCACTATGATGTCACAAGAATGATAAAACATCACTAGATCTAATTCTTAACCAAAATCTAAGGTGTTGATTCTGATCTCATTACCTTGGAGAGCTGTGAACCCATGAATTGATTGAAGCACTGACCTCCCAGCATTTTGTATTAAATAAAATTAAATTTTAGTATGTGATTTGCATCTTACTCCTTTTTTTATTTTATTTGGGGGTCAAAGATGGATAATGTTTTGATTTTTGTTAAATGTCCATTAAAAGTATGACAAGGAAAAAATTGCACCTCAGTTCTTGATCAATCTTATATTGGTCACTCTTCCCCCATATAAGAAGCACAGACAGCAGTTTCAGTGGCCTTCCATCAGTAACCCCACTTGATCTTTCAATCATCCAAAGGCCAAATAAAAAAGGCATCTCCAAAATAAATATGTACACACATCCTAATCCCTCGGGACTATTTTTTAGATCTCCGAAGTTCATGTCCCCAAGTCTGCCAACCATTTCTGTCATGTTCATGCTTTTCTACAATCTCACAAAAAATAAAAAAAGTAATTTGTATAAACCAGATCAACAATGACAAGAACTTTTTTCAGTAACACAATATATTTCATGCCTACTGAACATATAGTAGCTACACTCCTTTATCAGTGTTGCATTTGGGTGCATTCTGAACTCAGCTTCCCTTTTTCACCATATAAAACAGAAAGTACTGTTTACACAGTTGTTTGACTCAATCCTCTCACTCTACAAAAAAAAATTCCTTACACTCTGTGTCAGAACAATTACAAATCAAAATTTGAAGTATGCTAACACCCATTTGGCAGTTCTAGGGTGGTCCCAAGTTCCCCAGGAGTCCTTTGGTAGACTTAAATAGTTCCCTTTGTTTGGGCATCTTCCTTTGATCAACCTACTGAACTGTCAAACTGCTTGCTTTTCAAAGGTGAAGTAAGCTGGTTAGTTTGTAATGTTAGTTGCCAATTATTACAGAAAGAAGTTCTTGGACTTGTCTCTTGACTGGTTGTTCAGCCACAAAATACTTTTTTTCCCCTGGCAGACAGAAAAGCAGATAATGTAAACAGTAAATCCAAAAGTGGTACTAGTTTCAGAGAGGAGTTCAAATGGAAAGGAAAAGCAATTACCTTTAGGTAACTTCTATGATGTGATTGTTCCCTGGTGGTTGCTGGGAAGCCATGGATAACAACAATATAGATTTTAGCTAAAATTGTAGTCTAAAATTCAAATACGAAAATGCCACAATCGAATTTAATTTTTTGTTCAAGAAAGGAATGAGTTCTTTTGAGCCATTCACAGAAAAAATTTATAGCTCCAAAGAATGCAGTTGCTTGAAGTATTGGAATGACTTAAATAAAGAATAAGCACCTCTTCCTTTGGTAGTTGCTGAGACTAAAAGATTTAGAAGCTAATTATTGGCAAAAGGCATAGAACAACCTGCAGTGATGACAGGCAAAGTGATCAACAGTGCATAGAAAAGGCAAAAAAAAAAAAAATCTAACATGACATGCATAGGTAACTACTCAATATAAAGAAATATAACCTTGATTCTGTTTGATTTTCTTCAGCCACCTCAGTAGAAACTGAACTCTGTGAAACCATGTGAGTAGGGCAAGAGTTCTTCCACCTCAATCCGAGAGCTAGAGCAACCCATGTTCGTAATTTGGTTGTGATTGGTAATTTCTACCTCTGCAGTGAAAATGCTGTATACAGGTCTGTGATCAGAGAATCTAGACTCTCCATGTAGATAAGCCAATTGAGTAAGGCCTCTTCCACACCATAAAATGCGGTCACACCTTTGACCAAAAAGAAAGATCCCAATTGGCTTAAAAAATATGAGGACATAAAAGAATGATAAAGAAGAACTTTAAGAAACTAGGCCAATTTGGGGAGGTCATGTTACGAGAAACCTATGCTAAGGAGAGATGATGCAAGATTCTACCATGCAGGTGTCCGCCGCTTCTCTTTTCGGTGTGTGTCATCCCCTGCGTATCTATCTGAGTTATTTGAATATTTATAGGTTGGAGGAAAAAATATCCTTCCTTCTTTCCATCCCTCGAAAACACGGCCACATCTTCGCTCTATTCGAAGCTGTTTTAACAAAAAGCAATGAGAGATTTGGACTAGCAGTTTGAGAATACATAAAGAGGAATAGAAGAATCATAGCTTTCCCAGGGCACAAGAGGTCTTTATGCCTTTTTCAGAGGGAATCTAAAAAGCACTAGATTCTTAGTACTTCAAGAGATTTCCATACTTTTGAATGATATTTTAATATGCTAAAACTTAAAGCAACACAAAGAAACACTGGTAGCAATGATACTACTTATATAGCAGACTCTGAAAAGGATTAGTAAACCACCTGATCTTTTTCCAACAAAGCTCTCCAGTTGTGCATCTCAACTAAAGCCTTTGCTGACTGATAGGAAAGAGCGATGCGGTAGTTTAAATCACCAAGCCATATGATACGACTGACATAAGAAAGAAAAAAATGAGAGCATGCTTCTCACAAACGTTACCTCTTTCAGGTCTACCTGAGAGAAACATAAGTGGATAAAATAGAAAGTCATGACAAAGAGGCTTACTCATGATCAAGAATTGTTTCAGGAGACTTCTCATCACATACTCTGTGCACCCGAGGAAACCTAGTCTTTCTTAAAATTTCCATCACATCTGAGTTCCTCCGTAGTTCATCCCCCTCTTTCTGTCCCGAGGTCAAATGACTACAGATGAAACAGAAGCTTGTTCGGTGAAAAGACATGCTGATTGATATTGAACCCTGGAAGGAGAAAAGAAAAAAAATCCATTGTTTGAACTTTGAAATAGGATACCATTCCATTGTTTGGAGTTTGAGTATGTTGGACGAGCTCCTATCTCAGATTTAATTTGGCAGATTCAGTGTAATATTAGATAAATATGATTACCTTATTGCCAAGATAACCCATTAATCCTCTGCCAACACAGGAAACCTTCAAGTTCTTCACATCACCTCTTATTTCGCCTCTCACCCAAATTGTTAGAAATATGCCAACCATCTGCTTACTTGCAACCAAGCAATACCTGGAACTGTAATTGAGTAGCACCATTCAGAATCTATAGAATATGTAAGATTTTTATCACTGAGAACTGAATCAAATGGAATCAATGAAAGAAATCTTAAGGAGTAGTACTTAGAGCGGAGGGATGATCTCTCCCTTTCTTCCAAATATTGTGGAGCACCATAGACATAAGACATTGGTGAAAAAATATCTGTCGAAGGAGATTCTCCCCCAAGTTTCTCATCATCAGATGAACCTCCACATCTAAAACTGGGATCAAAATTACTTGGTCTGCTTGCAATGCTTGTCCGATCACAAACACTGAACCGGCGATCCAGCCTTGGTTGCATTGCCATGATATCACCATCAATTCTTAAACTGCGACTCATGGAATGGAATGAACGTCGGTGAAGCAATGATGAATTCTTTTGCCTTGTTGAGGAGCCCTCAAAATCAGCATCTAGCTCCACAAGCGGATCGGGAAGAGGGGACAGTATACTGTAGTTGCCAGAACTACAAGTGCCCGGAAGAGTGTTCAGTGTCTTTCTAATGAGTGACAACCATTTCTTTGCTGGAAGATTGTCTTCTGCACCAAGAACATTTCCAGCATTGAGAGGAACAATCTCTTGAAATCTGGAAAGAAAAAAGGTAAATGAGTTGAAATGAATTACTTCAATATCACTAATTTTGTACGACCACAATAGCATTTTTATGTGTTCCTCAAAAATCTTAAAATGTAGGAGAAAAGTAAAGAAACCAGACCCCAGAACGTAAATGTCTGCCGGAGGTGAAGCATGGATCCATTCTTCAAGATTCAAATTTTTTGGTGGAGATTTCCCACCTACATTCCATGTCGAGACAAAAATTCTAGAAACCAAAAGAGTAAAAAATTTATGGATCATATTGGAGGTCACTGAACAATTGCAGAAATTTAGAAATCAAAGGATTGTAAGGACCAAAAAATGTGATTACTTATAGTCCTCAACATCTGCAACTTGATCCACATCAACATCAAATCTTCCTCGCCGAACTCGTTCTGAATTTTTTTTGTTCAATCGTTCTAATGATCAAGAAGAAAATTACCAAGGATTATAAAAACAGAAATCGAAGAAACGAAGAAAATAGCTACACGGTTGTGGTCCAAAGTTATAAGGCCTGAAACTTTATACCTGTTCTGCTTTTCTTAACTGTGCATGTCTCCCTCTCTGTGAAGTTGGTCCGCCATTCCCCATCACCTTCTGATGAACACACAGAATAGGTAATAAATGGAAAAAGAAAACAAAAAAGGATGTAGCTTGTGTGCTAATATTCTCATGACGTTTTATGACTTTAAGCACAAGCAAAGAAACAACAAGTACTGCGCAATGCATCAAGAGAATGGCATTTCAATTGGTCGGGTGAGTAAAAGCCTACAGAAGACCAGTCATATGGCATTGCAATCAAAGGAAAAAAAGAAAGAAAGAGATCTCATAAGACTAGATATCAAGTTCATGAAGCAGAGATTTCTAGACCAAAACACAAAATAAGAACTCAGCACAAATAGCTTAAGGTATATGTGAGTGAGTTAATTTTGTAGGCACACAAGCAATTAGACCTACCTCTTTCAACAACAACATCATCGTCTGCATGGAAGTCCTGAGGTTTGCTCTTGATGTTGAACCATTTTCTAACAAGCGTCTTGGACCATGATAGCTTCTCCAACAAAATGAGAGAACAAAACAGTGGAACAAATCAGCAATTTTTAAGACCTAACAGAGGAACGATGGTAAAAATCGAATCTTTCGACAGGAGAAACCTTGGTTTTTATCGAGTTCTCATCTCTCATTGTTTCAGCACTCCCTCATGCAGCCACCGGGAGATGGTTTCTCTCCCCACCTATACGCTTTCAGGAGTCTCGCCCTGATTTGGATCCCAACGAAGGAGAACAGCAAATGCCGACCTTTTTCTCGAGTGCTATTTGACAAAAAGATCGATTCCAAACTTCTTCCCACAGAGATGGATCGGAAAACTAAGAAGCCGCAGAAACAAGAGAACCGGTTAGCACCCTCGAGGAAGGTACACCATTCCAGGGTTCATCGCAGAACACAACAAGTGAGCAGGAGCTGACCATCCACTCCAAACCAAAGCTCAAAAGAAAGGAAAAACTTCTCCTTTCGCCAATGGGACTTCAATCTATAGCCTCGGAGCAATAAAGATCAGACTTTGGACACAGAAACACCAATCTCGGCGCTAGACGGAAGAAGAAGAGAGCGATGGAGAATGGGGGAAGCAATGAAGCGGACATTCACAGACACCACTCTTTCTCCTCCTCAACCTCCTTCTCGGAGTACAGCAAAGTATCCAATTTGAAGCGAAGGGAATAAAGTGTGAGCATTGCGCTTTTAGCTTACCTCCCTCTCTCTCTCTCTCTCTCTCTTCCCCCACTTCTCTCGAGGTTTTTTTTTTTTTTTTTGGGGCTTACCCCAAAACCTGAGCCGAGAAGAAGGAAAAGGAAGTCGTAGGTTATTTTGCAAATATACCCTTCTCATATTTGTAATGTCATTTACTCTTTCAACTTTTAAGATTTGATACATGTAATTTCTTATAAATATCAACCCAAAAATTCAGATTGACCACTTCAAACATCGGTTTATATTTTTTTAATCTAAGCTAAAAGATATATAAAATATAAAAATATTTTTACTATTGATAGGACATATCCTGAGAATCTACCATCACTTACGACCACGTTAGCATCTAGGACAACACGCCTCAGTCAACGCTATTCCTGCGAAGATAGGGCAGTGCTAACAAAGCACAGCGTCATCTCGGAGAGGTCGGGACGACACCGAGCGAGTACCATGCCGACTTGCAAGGGCCAGGTCGGCACAATGCCGACCCGGAAAGGTTGGGATGGCGTCGACCCAACACAGCACCCGCCAAGCATGACATCATCCTGCAAAGACCAAGACGACACTGACTGTACACAGCGTTGTCCCGCGAGGCCGGGACAGTGTCGACCGTGCACAGCATCGTCCCACAGAGGACGGGACGATGCCGACTGTATGCATTGTCGTCCCACAAAGGCCAAGATGGCATCAACCGTGCACAGCATCGTCCCTCAAAAATCAGGATAGCATCGACGATAATAAACAGCCCAGGTACGACCGGTTCCCGAGAGGGGAAGATAAAAATCCCTCAAGGGGTCTTTCGGCAGGATGTTCCTGAGCTGGCCACTCAATACTAACTAGATCTTCGGAGAGGTCAAGGTCAGGAGCCCCTTCTTGATCCCGACCTATGTGCAGGAACCGGAGCCCGAGGAGTAGGCAGTCAATCCTAGGGAGCGTCCGACTCGGAAGCCAAAGCTCAAACCTAATCTGCTAGAGGCAAACGATCTTGCGCATCCGGGACCGAATCAAACCGTGCCACGCTCTGCCACGGTGCAAAGGATCAATATCAACTATCATTTAAAACTTTAGTTTTAAAGTATATTGTCAAATGACAGTATGTCAGAAGAGAAATGTTTGTGTAGATATAAACATTACTGAGGATATAATTGAAATGTTTCCAAAGAACGACACTGCGCTGATCGGCAGCTGCCCATTCGTCGCCAGTCTGCGGAGTCTTCGTCCTCACATCCTGCCCGCGGTCAGTTCTGTGTGCCCTCCTTCATGGGATAACAGACCACCAAAAGAAGAGAGAAGAAACTGTTAAAGGAACAGAGAGAGAGAGAGAGAGAGAGATGTTATATTTACGGGCTACTCTACTACTGCAGTCAGATTAGTACAAATCTTGGTGTATAGGGGAGTGGGAGTAATGTGTCTCTTCTCCCTTTTGGTTCCATTTTGTCCTCCTCCTCCTTCCAACACAGTGAGACCATTGTATGCTTCGCTGCCACTCTCATTGACAGATGAGCAATGTCTCTGTTTCTTCCAACACAGTGAGACCACTGCAATGCTCAACTCACAGGGACAGTGATCTGAGGGGGGTTTTAGGCGGTTAGCTTGCGAGTGCCCTACAATCCTATTGGGCGTGTGTGTGTGGTTCCTTGAACTGTGGGCCACCAAAGCTTGGGTAATGGTGGATCAAAGAGCTCTCCCTACCTTGAGGTCGCTGTAGGGCTGCTTTGCCTCTCGACTGCTTGATATGGGGGTGTAGGTTGGCTGTTGATTGGATGGGGATGAGTGGTTTCGGGGACAAGGCAGGGTGTGCATTGTTTGGATTCAGGGACTTGCCTGGGCCACTCCAAGCAGGTAGGGGACACTATGGGTTTGATTGAGCTCCTCAAGGCCTCAGTTTAAGGTATGAGTTGCACTGGTGCAGGATCTTCCTTCCTTCTACCCTACTCCCTAGAAAAGCTCAAGGAGAAGATGTCTCAGAACTGTCAACCCCAAACTCTTGCTGTAGAGACATCTCTACTGTGAGCAATGGAGCTCATTCCTTGCTATCTATCTCCGTCAGGCAACCATTTTGGACTCCAGCTATATGAGAATTTCAAGCTCCCATATCAAACTCATATTGTGCTCTTTGAGTGGGCAATGGCCTGCTTTGATTTGTACATTCCAATTGAGGTGTTGGTGTGGGGGCAAGGGAAGTGTCCTTTTGAGGCAGTGGAAGAAGACAAGAGGAATGGCGCAATCACTAGTGCACTTGCGCCATGGCTGCCATTTGAGCTCCAATTCTGGATTCTCCACCCATGGAGTTGGAAGGGGATCTCAGACACAATCTAAGCTAGGATTCATTCAGGCAACTAGGGAGCATGAGTTGGATCTTATCTGTTACATGGAATTCTCGACCGTCGATTTCGCTAAAGATGAATCTATCCTGTGAGCAGCAGCATCACACTGAGCTTGCGAATTGTTCAGGGTTGTCATCCGTGAAGGATCAGCATCAGAGATGACAACTCAGAGTCAATGGACAAGCAGTATCAACAGTGCTTAGATCTAAAAGCTTCATGCTAAAGTAATCCTTCCGATGGTTACAGCCACATTGTCACATGCATAACCAGCCACATTAAAGAGTAAACTAATGGCATTTTAAGATCATCACGTCACAAATCACTTTGGAATATGGAACTGTTTTCTATCATATAGTTTGTACTTTTACTGAGAAAGCAGCAAGGCAGCTCCATATTGAGGGACATAGTGCTCTCTCTAAAGTTCTTCGTCTCTCTTATGCATGTTTGAATGTAGAAAGTTCCACTGTTGCAAGAACCCTGAATCCAGCCACCAAAAGGTTGAGCTCACTGCACTCCATTTCTTTTGCTCCACCAAAGAGAGAAACTCTTCATTGTGAAGAGTAGATTGCAGAGACAGAGCACTCAATCCCAGAATGCTTCTGGGAAGATCATGTGCATTTGTTGCCAAATTTCCAAGGTCATTTAATGAAACTTGTGCATTGAGATCATGCAAGCTTCACTTGCAGATTTCAGTGTCGGAAGAGAAATCCTATTTCAGTGGATCAGCGGCACCTGAGTCTTGTCCTTCTATATCTTGGCAGTGGCCTGGATAAGAATCATATTACTATATGTACTGAGAGAGCTAAAGAAAGAGAGAGAGAGAAACTATAACACACGCTCTCAGCTTAGGATCCATCTGAGTCTCACCAACACTAATGCATCCTCCTCAGACTGGCCCATGTGGAATGTGCATGCATAGGGAAAGAGAAAGGACAGTCAAAGGGTAACTCTATCCACACTTTGAGCAAAGTATCTTCTTCCTTCTTCCCTTTTCTTTTTCAGCTTTAAGATCCTCCATGCCAATCCCACTGGCTTTACTTGATGGTTTTCTGCAAACATAGGTCTTGTGTCCTTGGCCTGGCCTTTTGTTCAAGTCATTTTCCTGGAGCTCTTCTCATCAAAAGGAGTAATCGATGATATGTGATCCAGATAAAGCACCTTTATCTCTCCAAATATTGGACTCATGCCCTCCAGGTGTAATGTAGGGAGAGACTATAGTTGACTAAAGCTGTAGATTAAAATGAATAATAAGTAGGATAAGAAGTTTATTGCATTTTAGTTGGATAAAGTCATGTTATCAGTTACATAGTATATAAGAAGTGAAAGCTTCAAACTAAACCCCAAATTTTGATTGTTCTAAAAACTCAACCTGTTAAAAAACTTAAAACTTTTAGCTACCAGTGTTTTTGTCATTTTAACTTTCAATATTAAATAAATAAATGGGTTGGATATGGATTGTTTATGCAGCACAATGATAAGTGCATACTGAGTTGACTCAACCTGTCCAAGACAACAAAAAGATCTTTAATTCTTATCTTCCTATCTTTTCTATCTTTAAATGATGCTATGTGAGATGGATTCAATTGTCTCATTGACCCACCACCAATAGAAGAGAAAGGGATCTGATCTATTTGGTGAACCTGACCCATATATGAATAAGATATTTTGATTATTTATTATTATTATTATTATTATTATTATTATTATTATTATTATTATTATTATTATTATTATGAATGGGCAAATGATAAAAGCCAAATTCAAATTTAGGATCTTACGATAAATTTCAAGGTCTTTATCAATTTGTCATCCTAATTATGGACCAGATTCGCAAAAGATAATTCCTCTCTCTCTCTCTCAGTTTCTGTCTCTTTAAGTGATGTCAAGATGAGATCAAAATGTCTTAGTGAACAACACTCAATTCAGTCATACATGAGATATTCTGAAATCAGTTGCTCCAAAGGGATCAAGACAAAGCCTAATGTCAAGTATTCCAAGCTCAACTTGCTGAAGTTTTCCTGGCATACAGTACTGCAATGGCCAATAAAATTTAGTACCTGGTTCACTGTAGAAGCATAAAAAGAGGTGAGGAAAAGATCAAGCAAACACAATCAGCCATTGCTGTCAATTATCCTGTAACATTAAGATGATTAAGACAATTCAATGAAAAAGTAGTGCTTGTAGTTAACAGTAGTCATAAGTGCATGGGATCTTGAAACTCAACAGATAATGTCAATCTCTATTGGCATGCTCTTGTTTTTTTTTCCTTTCTTCTTAAGAGTGGACAACTTCTTATCTCTTATTTTGAGTCATGTCTTCTTCCTGACTCTGTTTCTTATCTATAGCACATACCAATAGTTTTGTACATAGTTTGATTATCATATGCACATTTCACATACAAATGCCTCTCTATTATATATTAGTTATGGAAATATGGAAATAAGACATTATGTAATTGAAAAGATGTGTGAATAACCATTATTGTGGTTGAAAAGACCCTTCAATAGATGACAGTTCTATTCACTACTGCTGTTGCTTTCAAGCATAGGATGATCTACAATACACCCTTTCTTGATCTCAATCTTCTCCTCCCATCTAGGGTAAGAGTACTTCTAGTATGATACCTGAAGCAGCTCTCGAGAATGTCATCAAACTAATTTCCAGAGACCTTAGTACATGATGATGGACCAGACACTAGTTTTTTAGCTGAGTTCTCTACTAATCAGAACAAACA